CATAGCTTACCTGTCTAATATCAATCTGTCAGGAGATAGTGACAGAATGAAAAAATATGTAAAAAATACATTTTTAGAAAAGTTACATACTGCACCTTTAAGACAACTGTCAAGAATAAACATCAGGGGTCAAGTACAGAGGTGGACCACCAGAACGACCCATCTCAGAATTTAAAATCATGTGATTTCTGCTGAATTCAAAAGACCAGTTTAATGATTTCAACCCAGCCGATGCTTTCATCTGCAGACTTTAACAAATCTGGACATGAACAACAAACCAGTACATCAGATCTGTCGGATGTCTGTATCCTCAGTGTTTCTTCCATGTTTTCAGTCACTTGGCTCTTTCAGTAGGTAAACTGACGTAAATGGCAGCTGTTAATAGATGTTGTTTCAAAGTTTTAATAAAAGAACACATTAACCTTCAAAATTAGTTCATTAATTCATGATTTTTTGGATTGGTTAGTTACTTTTTCTCACTGGGCCAGGTTTGTTTGGAGAACTTTTACCTTAATCATGTTTAAAAACTATATTTTTTATTTTCTATTGTTGTCTTTGAACATGTACAGTATGTTTGACAAAAAGGTCCAAAGCAGAAGAAACCTGTCAGGAAGTGAGAAGGTGAAATCATCTGATTCATGAGTTCATCTTTCTTCTGGTTTCTTATAAAAACAGACCAGGCAGCAGCTCAGAGACGCTGCAGGAGCTCAGCATACCAGCACTGGAACCTGACTCTCCAAACTGAGATGATTCAATCAGTTCCCCTAGAGGGCTTTACAGGAGCTGGTTCTGGACCCATCAGCACGGCCCGGATCATTTTACTCAAAGTAATCTAATAAAACTTCCATTACGGCAGCAGCTCTTCTCTCTGTCCTCCTCCCTTTGTCTCACAATCTGTTTCCCTGCTTTCTCACCTGAACTGGGTCTGTAGATCTGCAGGGTGGCAGGAGTCGGTCTTCTGCGGCGGATCTGAGGGAAAAACACAGTTTTACTGTCGAACCTCCTGAGAAGCTCCTCAGACAGGAAGTTTGTAAAAACGGTTAATAAAAATCACCATATTTCATCAACTAATCAAATTTTACCATTCTTCCAAATAACTTCATTAAACCAGCATTTTTATAATCTCTAGACTAGTTGTTCCACAACCTTATTCCTAACGGAGGTATAACTCTCTTTCAAGTTAGTTCAAATGTTAGGATTCACAAACCTTTCAAATCCTTTAAGACTATAAATACTTTCCTCTTACTGAAGTTAGATTGAATGTTCAAAGGTAATGTGTTTTTATGAGCCCTATACATAATCAGCAAAATCATATAATCAACAAACTCATAAAATTGTAATTATTTCAATTAATTAAATAATGTATTCAGTGGGTGACTATAATGTTTTGTTATATCTGTTTATTTGTCATACTTTTACAATAAATTAATAACTATGTTAATTTCATTCAACAATCATATAAAACAGCAGATATATACCAGAAAAATATGTAATTTATAAATAATTTTATAATACCTCAGCTGATCAACCTTATCCAACTATAACTTAGTCTTGTTACAGGTAACGTGGAGTGGTAATCATTGATATATATTACTGGATTGGGCGTGGCTAGCGTATTGCTAGCTACATTGAAGTGCACGCACTGGAGCTCTGTTCTGCACTGAGGAGCCTCAACAAAATGAATGGAGGTCAATGGACTGCGAGGTGTCATCCTGATGAAAAACTCTTATAACTTCCTTATTTCTTGCTAGATTTGTACAAACTATGGTTCAAAATAAAGCTGGGGAAATTGTGAATTTTATAGTTGATTTTGATTTATTGATTTAACAGGAAAAGATTACTAAAAATCAAGCCTGACTCAGCATAATTGCTGTTTTACAGCAGGTTCCTGT